GATCCAGGGGGCAGGGAGGGGGCAGGATACCAGGGTAGATGAGCCCATGGGGCTGATCCAGGGGGCAGGGAGGGGGCAGGATACCAGGGTAGATGGGCCCATGGGGCTGATCCGGGGGGCAGGGAGGGGGCAGGATACCAGGGTAGATGGGCCCATGGGGCTGATCCGGGGGGCAGGGAGGGGGCAGGATACCAGGGTAGATGGGCCCATGGGGCTGATCTGGGGGGCAGGGAAGGGGCAAGATACCAGGGTAGATGGGCCCATGGAGCTGATCCGGGGGCAGGGAGTGGGCAGGATACCAGGGTAGATGGGCCCATGAGGCTGATCTGGGGGGCAGGGAGGGGGCAAGATACCAGGGTAGATGGGCCCATGGAGGTGATCCGGGGGCAGGGAGGGGGCAGGATACCAGGGTAGATGGGCCCATGGGGCTGATCCGGGGGGCAAGGAGGGGGCAGGACAGGGCCGCTCAGAGGATTCCGGGGGCCTGGGGTCTTTGGCGGCGGGGGGCCCCCGCCACCGAAGACCCGGCACTTTGGCAGCGGGTCCCAGAGCGGAAGGACCTTCCGCCGCCGAATTGCCGCCGAAGTCCCGGAGCGGAAGAAGCTCCGGGGGCTCGGGCCCCACGAGAGTTTTCCGGGGCCCCCGGAGCGGGTGAAGGACCCCATGAGAAAAACTCTCGTGGGGGCTACTGTGGGGCCCGGGGCCTGGGGCAAATTGCCCCACGTGCCCCCCCCGGGCGGCCCTGGGGCTGGATACCAGGGTAGATGGGCTTGTGTTGCACATTAATCTCCTGGTAAGTTGTGTGTACTCGCATCGTACGGGGAGCTGTGAAGTCTGGCTACACGTGTGTTACTGAAACATGTGGTGAGGGTGGGAACGCCCACGAGCAGCCGTTCAGGTACAACAGTAAACAGGCCAAACACTGTTGATGGCTTATTGAGGAAATAGACGTGAGCACAAGGATCACACCCAGGTTGTGTTTTTGTGTATTTGCCAGGTAATCTGCTTAGATCTGTTCGCGGTCACTTATAATCACTTCAAATCGATCTTTTGTAGTTAATCCACATGTTTTATCTTAACCAGAGAGGTTTTGAGTGAAGTGTCTGGGAAAAGCTCAGCTTGGCTAACACAGGCTTGTTGCCTACCTTCCCCACACTGTGGGGGGAGTGACTGCGTGACTGAGCTTGCACTGTACAGATCCCTGTGCGGTGCCGGACGGCCCAGTTCTGGGTTTACACTCCAGCAGGGGTGCCGGGCGGGGGAGCTGGGAGATTGGCTGGCGTTTGCGTGGCTTCGGTAAAGCACTCAGGTAACTCAGTTGGGTGTGTGGTGCCACCTGCTGTCGTGTTGGGTGATAACAGGGCCTGGAGAAGCTGGCTGAGCCGGCCCCTCTGAATAATCAAGGGGCCCCAGCAGTTCCAACAGCTCCCAGATGGCACCCCGGGGGGTACAACCCGTCACAGGGCCCGTGGGGCCGATCCGGGCGCAAGGAGGAGGCGGGACACTGAGGTAGATGGGCCCGTGGGGCTGATCCGGCGCAGCCGTCCCTCAGCTCCCACTCAATACCCTCGGCCTGGCCGGATGGGGCGGCTCCGGGGTCTCTGGCTCAGCCGTTGTGCGTTTACAAAGAAATCCCCAGTCCCCACATGAAGCGCGATCGGGCTGGGGAGTTTGGGCGGGGGGGTGGGGGGGGCGCGGCAGCCGCCGGCCATGCAGGGGCCCCGTGACCGCACCTAGCGAGGACAGCGTCTCCCCTGCTCCAGAGTGACGGGTATTAAAGAGCCCTGGGCAGCATCTCCATCACTTCATGGGGCTGCGGTGCATCGGGGGGCAAAGGGCGGGGTTCTCTGGGGT